AAAAAAAAAGCCTGCTAAACCATGTGGACTCCAGCAGTTGCATGTAATATGCTACAGAAATCACTTTCTTAATACACTGGAGCCTTTAAATTTCCTCTCCTTTTAATGTTTGAACCCTTCGAGTCCCCCTGGTGGCAGCACACCCGTGGGATGTGTCACCCCCACAAGCTCAGGGAGAAGTGCATGGCCCTTGCTTTTTATTCTTAAGTCTTCATTAAATTCCTTTTCTCTAGTGATTATCGACTGAACTGTTGAATGAATGCAGTAGTAGTGTAGTAGGAGGGATAAAATGCAGATTTTATTAATTTTATGGAAGCGGGGTTTACTGCAGATAGATTCTAACATTAGGTGAAGGACCTATAAATGTAGCTCCACCTTGTAGTTTTTACATTTTTTTGCCTACTGGCTCTGATTTGCCTTGGTTTTCTTTTTTTCCTGTGTTTGGATGGGAGTCATTTTGTATAACAGGATAAATGTAATAGACAAGGAATGGGGTGGGGAGGTCTGAATGTTTCATACTATGCAGGCGCAAAAAGCATAATGGCATGTTGCTGTAGCAGACTAAATAAGAAATTATGATGAGATTTTGTTCTCTGTTAGCTTAAATATATTTATGATATTTAGTACTCTGGAGAAAAATGTTTGACTGGTTGATGCTTCATTATTAGACATAGTAATTTCAAAAAGCAGTGGAGAGAGATTTTAATGTAAAAAGTGAAACTATGTGTCTGTTCTTTCAAGGGTACTAAAGGAGTGCCAGAGAAAGCTTTCAAAATGGAAGCTCATCAGAAAAGAAAAATAATCATTAAAAGATCCCTTTGTGTAACTGCTACGGACAGCAGTCTGCACTTCTTATTTAAAATGGATATAATAAAGCTGTTATCATACGTAGGATAAATTTATTTTACATAAACGATAACCTTGCCAGTCTTGGAGTACTTGTATTACTTGGGAACTGCTATGTAAAATTCACTGGTTTAATTGATTTTTGCTCAATGCTTCTTGCAAAAGTGTACATTTAGAAAGAGAATCTGCAGCAAATGGAGAGAGGTGAATGTAGATAGCATCGTCAGTAGATAGGAACACACTTTTTGGGTGTTTTCTGCTTTCCAAGTAGCTTTGGCTTGTCATCTGAAACAGTTATGAAATATGTTAAAGCTGAGTGTGAAACACATTCTTGTTTGGTGTTCTGGCTGTCTAACTCTGGCAGAGTCATTCCATACATCAAAACTACGTGAGCAAAGTAAAACTTTGTTCACCAGTATCGGATGATTAGTATGCTGCTGATTGAGGTTTTCCAGTAAAAAAAAACTTTATCCCTTCAGCAGCCTTTATTGTGTGCTGAAGGAGCCCCTGGAAAGGGTCTCTTGCCCCTTCAGGATAAGCTGACAAAAACTCTTGACTGGGGAGGTTGATAGTCTGTGTCATACCTGTTGCATCTGAAGGAATCATCATGTGAATTTCCAGGAACTGTGAATTTGGATTTTGGAGCATGTCACCTGTTGTAATTCTTGCTTGGTGCTAGCTAATGCATTTCACATTCATGACCTACAATGAAATGAATAATATACATAAGAATAACATGTTATTACATGCACTATGAGATGTAAAATATAGGTAACTGAAAAGATTGTCTGTTAGCTAAGTGGCATGTATATCCTTTGTGTCCATTTTTCCTGAGCAATAAAACAGTTCTGATGAACTTCTAATTTTTTTTTTTTATAAAATAAGAATTAGGGGTTTTTAACATATTGCTCTATCTTTAGTGCCCCTCTTGAACATTCTTTCATTTCCTGACTTCATTTCACACTTAAGCCTTCTTAATAAGGTATCATGCTTTTCAGTATTTTTGTTATTGTTTTATTTTCTTTTCAAAGTTTTTGCTGTCATATTATGAACAAAATAAATTTGTTTTCTTTTCATCCCTGAAATTTCCCTTTCAAAATACAAATTAGCATGTAAATAGTGAAAGTTATTTTGATCTTTTGGTAACAATTAAGACTCGGGTATTTGTGCGCTTTTTGTTCTAATAATATTGTGTTGTTAATGCCTGTGAAGGCACACATGCTAAACGTATGTAATGAAAACTTCTTGAGTAAGCAGCCTGTAGCAGACCTGTGAAAATAGTCAGCTAATGTTATGATGGCAAATCCTCTAGAACTGTTGAAACAAGAATGAAGAGTGCTTGTTTGCCTGGCATCTGTTGGATGATGAGGATTATAGTGCAGTTCAGAGGCAATGAATGCACAGAGACCTCTGCCCTTTGATTAGGGAATTCAAATTTCCCGTGAAAGGTAAAAGATTAGGAACTGAAAGATCAGCTTAGAATCTGTTCCCTCCTTTACTCTTTTTTTTTTTTTCTAAATAAAATGCATGCATGGATTTAATCTTGACATAGCATGTAACTTTAATTTTCTGCAGCGTGGCTAGGGCTGTCTTTAGCATCCAGGGTTTACATAAGTGGATGGAAAATGGTTTAGCTTGCTACTTACGCCCCCGGCACTTCCGCCCTTACTCCCTTTGTCACTCAAGGATCCATTTTTATGTAATGGTTTTTAGTTGGGTGACAAAGGGAAAAAATAGGGAAAATCAATGTTTGGTTTGGAGGGAGAGAACATGGTAAGATTTATGCTGCAAATACCGGTGACTTAATATTCAAGAATGTCGTATACTACACCTAGAAAATCCTTATGCTTTGCACTAGTTAGCAGTAAAAAATAGAAATCATTTGAAGGTAAAACAAAACCAATTAGATCTAACAATTTGATGAGGTAACAGCAATTTGACAATTTTTGTCAAATTGTCAAATTTGTCAAATTGCTTATAGAAGTTTTAAGCAAAGTGGAGGACAGTTGTGAAAATAGGGAAGTCTGATATTTGGTGCTGATATATTTGGGAATGATTATATGTTTTGAACAGCTTCCATGGGGACTTGCACTTTTCAGAGGGAGACCTGTTTGATTTGGTAGTACTGAACTGTTCACTGATTGTTACACAACTGTTCCTTGATTAAAATTTGCAGTGTATTCTCTCTCTGCATTTACGGCAGTTTAATCCATGCAAAACACTTATGAATTAACTTTTAATGTTACTGATAATGTTTGGTGATTTTGAACTTTATTTTGTTAGATTTATATTTAAATTGTGTTAATCGTATTGCTTGTACAAGTGAATATTCTGCCAAAATAAGAGAATGCAAAAAGAGCTACTAAATTATTGTAAATTTAATGTTTCACGTGGGGATGTGGTGAGCTACACGTTTCAAAGTCAGGGCTTGTGACCAAAGCCCACATCTAACTAAATATTTAGTTTGTCAACCACTGCAGTTGACGATGAATTTGTGGTGTTTTGTTGTTGTGTTTTTGTTTTTGTTTTTTAAAGGGTGAATCTTCATATTTCTTGATTCATCTGCTTTCCTCACTTCTCCAGTGTTCTTAGTATAATGCTCTACTAGAACTGTGTCCTAGACAGTCTTTAGCCTACAGCAAGCTTAACTATATCCATCTGGGGAAGCAAGTAGTTGCTGTTGATACATTTCTGCATGTTAACAACATTTTGTATTACAGCATCTTCAAGTTTCCAGGCTTCACATAAGGAGCATGCCTCCTTTAACATGCAAAAGGGCAGCTGTAGTGCTGGGGAACAGGCAGCCAGACTTAAGTAGAAGTTTTTGACAAGTGATGCTTGAATAAACAATGCCTGTAAAAAGGAGGGCTTGAATTTAAACTAAGAAGAAGTGTAATTGAAACATAAGGTTAAAACAAGCTAAAAATAGGGATGTCTACTATACCACTATTTATTTGACTGGAAGTACAAGATGAAAATATTTTTCAGTATAGTTTACTTTCAACAGTGGTAAAACCAATCAATTTTCTCATTGTAAAATTGATATAAGGATGAAGCTTGGAAGCAGGCTAAATGAGGCACTGATGAAATTAACTGCTGAAAGCCTTTATGCTCAGTATTTTTGTGAGTGATACATCTTAAAGTACCAACATTCCTATGAGAGCGGCACAAATTGATACCTGCTACAGATCTCAAGTAAAAGTGAGAATGAATCACTCTTTAAATGGAAAACTGTTTTATAAATATCATAAAATCTACTGTGGCTTGTGCAGATAATTTTTTTGGTTTCAGTATTGGCTTGTAATGACTAATTATAATTCAAATGAGTAGGGGTGTTAAACCTGTTCCTAGACTTCTGTGTACATGGGAAAGTGTGAATATCCAAGTACATGGAAATGGAACTTAGGGTGGATGGGAATGAAGAGTGTCAAGTTTGTGGAAAAAAACCCCTAGCCCTTCATTATATAATTCATAACAGAAAGCTTTTTAAATTGTAATTTGTAAGGTATAAAGGCATGCCTTTTTCGTGCCATACTCAAATGCATCCAGCTGGGAGATGGCTTGATAGTGTCTGCTACAAAGATTTTACCTGCTGACTGAACAGCATCGTTTGTTTTCTTATGCGGTTTGGGAAGCCTTGTTGTCTAGCAAATTGCTAAAACTTTTCTTGTAATGAGATGATGATGGACTGTTCCAAACATTGAGAAAAACTAAGCACGGCTGTGAAAAACTGTAACTGGAGTGAAAAAGTGTACTGTTAAATGTATCTGTACACAAATATTACTAAAAGTTATTGAATTGTTTGTAATGGGAACATTTGGAAGAATTCAAGTGATGTTTGAGTGAAAGTGTGGGAAGCTTTTTATAAAAAATGCTGAGTCTCAAAGGTTTCAAATGTTTGTTGTGTTCACATACCCATTGTGGCTTTAACTGCTTCATTTAACAGTATGTGTTGAAGGGGGAGTTAAACCAGCTTAGATGCATTTTTTTTTTTTTTTTTTTTCCAGTGGGAAACAGAAGTCACTTGGGGAAAAATGTTTCACTTGTTAACATTACAAATTGTCTTTTAAACTTTAAGTTTGGCAAACATTTACCTTCATTTTGAGAAGGAACTTATATTTGTATTGTGCTTGGGTTTTCTGCCACAGAGTAAAGCCATCCCCAGCTGAAGGAGTCAAGTCCAACCCGTCCAAGAGACACAGGGACCGCCTGAATGCAGAGCTGGACCGCCTGGCAAGCCTTCTGCCTTTCCCTCAAGATGTTATTGCCAAACTGGATAAGCTGTCTGTGCTTAGGCTTAGCGTCAGCTACCTGCGAGCCAAAAGTTTTTTTGATGGTAAGTGTTGAATTTATTTTGCTTTGAGCTGCTTGTAAAATTCTGTTCATACTGTATGTCGGTTTCAGGTGTTTTAAGTAACTAAAACTGTTAAATTTATTTCTGTTTAATGGAATGTCCAGTTGTGTGGGTATATACAATACAACTGTATAGCGTAAGCTTTCCAGCTTCTTAAAAACCAAACGTAACTACTTGTATTTCACTTAAATCACCAGGCTTTCAAACTTTTCATTTGGAAGTAATATTGCCCTTAATAAGTCTTTCAGTCCTTTTCCTTAGACTTTCAAAGATTCTTCAGAGCTCCCCTCCCCACCCTGAAAGTCACCTTCATAAAACTATTACTGTTCAAAACATATTATATGACTTCCTCTCAACTGTATGTTTTGCTTAAGGATGCATCAGAAATGACTTTGATAGAAAAAAATTACTAGTGCCCCTTCCTATAGCTTATTGCAAAGGTGACTTGTGAATAAATAGAGGCAAGGTCTTCCCTGTGTTCAAGCCCTGATTAAGGCAGGGCATGAGGCGTTAAGATGACTGCTAAAGTTTTCCATTTGTGTGGGCAGATTTTCACTGACTGGAGTTCTGGCAAAGGTAAATAATCCAGCAGTGCTTGGAGTAGTAATCGGGCCAGAAGCACGTGTTCTTTCATTAGCTTGGAGCTGGTCAAGGAGTCCCACCTCTCTCCTTCACTACTTGAGCTGTTATGTAGGGTGAGATGTGATGGCTGGCTTTGTGCCAGTTTCTTCAAAAACAGAAATAGTGTGGTCCTTTTCACTGCTGGAATACAGCAGGGAGATGGTATCTAAATTTTTAATAATTTTAAATATTTAATTGTCCCTTTACAAAAAAAATCAGTCAGTGAAGTTTTACAATATTATACTGCAGATGGAATTATGTTGGTCAGCTGTGGTAAAAGAATCTTGCTTGCAATGGAGTTGATAGTAGATTGCAGGATTTTTTTTTTTTACTAAGTTTTTTTTGACATTAAAATAACCTCTGTCCTCATCATTTTAAAGTTCAGTGTTTCACCCTCTTAATAGTGACTCCTTACCATGGATGAAAGGACTGAAGACACGTAACTGCCTAAGATAGTTACACTTTTTCCTGCAGGAATACAGAACATTTGTTTTCAGTTAGTAATACTGAAAAATCTATACACTGGGTTTTATTGCTTGAAGGATATATACATATGTGTCTTAGTTTCTGTGCTTGTTCAGGACAATTTTTAGTATAGGATCTACTCAAGGCTGGAATTGGTCAAATATTTCTGGCAGTGGTTTTTATCAAATGAAAATATTTGCTCCCATGAATTGAAAGAGTTCTCTTGTCATGTCAGTTTCATCATAGTCTTTGTGAGATGTTATCTAAAGTCGACTGCCCTGAAACAAATTATTGCACTTGTGTGTGCTGTCTTGGCAAAATGAAGAGAAGGTTCAATTCTCAATGAAACTTTAAAAAAACCTACATATTCTGAAACAAATGCAAGATTACAAGTTTTTTTGCCTTAGAGTAAAAATAGAAATTTAAATTTCTCATGCAATTAATTGCTTGAGTGTGATGATGATGCAATGAATTGTTTTTCACCCATCCCAGCCCCAGACAATTTGCACTTGACAGTTCTGGAATAAAGGGGTTCAGGGCTGTGATTTCTGTATAGGAAAAAAATTCATGGCTTCAGCTGTAGAGAGACAACCACAAGGACTTCACACCAAAATTTGGTAGCTTTTCTAATTTGAACATGAAGGTGGCTTTCAGCTGTTTAGAGTGGTGATGAATTAGATGTGTGTTAGTGGCAAAGAAGTTATATTTGCATTTCAGGTTGCAATTTAACTACTGTGGATCCAGAAGTGAAGCAAACTTAACCTGTGTTTTCACCAGAGTAGCACCCTGTTAGGATGTTATCCACATCAAAGAAACATGCAGCTAATGTTACTGTACTGCACCACAGCTGCAGAATGTAGGATATTTAACTGTGTTATAATGGATTAAATAGCAGAATTTTTATCTGCCTCATAGCAAAGGACTTTTCAAACAACAAGTAAGAGCATGTAGTAGATGCATTACAACAGAATATTTTTCATGTTGTCTCCATAAAACAAAAAACTCTAGTAAATGTGAAAAGATAATTTGATGTTGCTTATCTTGTGCAAGACATTTTGAACAGTGTAAGATGAAGCAAGCTTAATTTATACCTTCAGTAGAAGCTGCTTAACCTTTTTTAGCAAAAAAAGTAATTTTGCTACTTTTCAGACTTTTGAACTGTAGGATTACAAGTTAAGTTAGTAATCAGTATCTGTCTGAAGATGTTTAAAGTCTAATGTCAATGACTAAAGTGAAGACAGGAGTAACTGATCTATGACCATGATAGATCCATTACTGAAAACAGGGTCATTTATACTGTTTTAATGTGACTAAATAACATGGAATCTATTTCAATTGAAACTTACCCTCCAAAAAAGCAATTAATGCTTTGAAGTGCAGAATTTACAAAAATGCCCTGAAAACCCTAGGGTTAGAGTTTCCTGATCTACCTAGCGCCTCTCATAGAACTGTTGTTCTGAAGTAACGTTTTGTGTAGTTAGGTGTATGCAGAAAGCTCTACAGGATAAATCTGACAAATGCCAAGCCTGAGCACTGAGTGTCACCTTGAGTGCCGAGACTGAGGGAACAGGTCCACTTCATTACCATAGCATGCTGAAGTCAAGGGAAACGCCAAATGAATAACAGGATGCCAATGGGGGGGTGTGTAAATTCCTGCGGAAAGTAAAATATAAACGCGTAATCATATGATCTTGCTTGAAAGGAAACCCAAATTTTTGCTGAAACAATAGATATTTTTTCAAAGAAAACACTTGCATTTTTCCAAGTTTAAATAATCCAGAGTGAATGTCTGTTTTCTGAAGGAGGAAGTCTGTGGGGAAAAAAGAACAGTTTTGTGCAAGACATCTCAAGAAGCTACATCAGTACCACACTTAGATGTCTACAAGGTTTTTGTTTTTGCATTAAAAACTAAGTTTATATATAAAAAAAAAATGAAACAAACTTTTCCCCGGCTCCAGTTATTAAGTTGGTGCAGAATTGTCTTCAGAGCTGAAGATGGATGATTTTTTCCATAGTGTTGACTGAAATGTGGTAGACTTCTGCATGCTTACCATATTTCAGGTCACAGGAAATAGGTGTAGCTTTTTTTTTGCCCCCCTCTTCCACAACTTGAAAACATCTTACTTTCTTCTGTTGGTGATTGTATTCTATTAAGCAGTTCTTTTTGATTGTTGTAGGTTGTTAGTGAAGTTGTGCTGCTAAGTAATCTTTCTGCGTCACTGCCCTTTAGGTACAGCAATTCTTTGTGGTCAGGTAAGTCTTAATTTCACATGCTGTCAGAAGGCTTTCTGTATCCCCATGTCAAGCACTCTGGCATGCTCTTATACATAAAAATTTGACCTTGCAGTCAAGAAGAAAGTTTCAGTAATGGCTTAAAATAATGTGTCAAGTCTTTTTCATTATGAAGTCAAAGTTCTTGCATGTTGAGTCAAAGCTAAGTAGCAATTTAAGGTGGTGTTGCTGTGCAGTGCTACCTGCCTGCATAAAGTGGATTAACAGTCCTCAAAGTCAGGCAGGTTAGCTTAAACCACCACTGGAGTATTTATTTGGGACATGTAAGATACTTTCTGAAAGTGGCTTAAGGCAAGCTTTTTATTTTTAAAAGACTAGGATAAATCAGGCAGGTGTCTGCTGACAGTAAAGAAATACTTCTTATGTTGTCCTGGTGTTTCATTTGGTTTTGATGCCAAGAGCCTGTGCATGTGTGCATTCAGTGGTGAAAAATGTAGTGGAAATGGAACAGCAACCCTTTGTGTAGGTGCAGGTTAGTGTGAGTTTAGCATCTGGAACACAACTGGGTGATCATTTAGGCATAGCTTGTGCTACCCCTGCATACTAAAGAAAATAACCCCTTTTGCCTCTAGCTTAGGTCCTTATGTGATTGATAATCATCTAAATACTTCACTGCAGTAAGGAACAACGTACATAATGAGGCTTCACAGGGTTCTGGTGAAGCACTTATATTAAGGGGATGAAAGTAAGGTTTGTATGATTTTTTTTTTTTTTTTTTTTTTTCAATGTTAAGGGCATGATTTTTCCCTTTAAAGGTATACTGAGAATTAAGAAGCTTGAATGAAAATTAAGTAGCTGTGCATGCATGTGTATCTCGATACATTAGAAACAAAATTGAACATGCTGCTTATTAATTACCCATTCATCCATTTCACTAAGAATTCCTGTGGTTTCAAGTATGTGGGTTTCTTCCCTCTTGCTCATTGGACAGAATTCTGCAATTACAGAGTAAAGTTTCTACTAAACTTTAGAATTGGTTTCTTATGTTGTAGGCAAGTGATTCTGGCAAGCCTAGCAATAACAAAATAATTAACAATTTTTTTTTTCCAGCAAGTTTGCATTGCCTAATTTTACTTTGTAATATAATTAACAGACATTCCTTGACATAACATAGCTTAAATTTGCAGTGAACCCATTGTCATCAAATATACATTATATCAAAGAATATTATTTTTTCTTTTCCTGTGAATGCCTGCTGTCCTATTATACTGTGTATTGGAGAGAACACACTGCATGTGGTTCCTGCTCTGGAGAGCATAGCTTAAGATAGGATGTACAGATGGAAAAAAACGGACAGAGGGGGTGACAATGTACTTTTCTGCCACATTGAGAAGGGATGCAATGTATCTGCAGTCCAGTGGATATAGACAGCCTTTTGGCCAAGCTTTCAGTGGTGGTCTGGACAAACCTGAACATAGAAAAAACAGCCAATTAAAACTCAACCTGCCAAGGCCAGGGTAATAGAGCAGATCTGACCTGATTTACTTTTGTATGAGACTGTTGCTGCATTTACCTGCCTTGTTAGTCTAATTCAGCCTTCAGTGTGTATTTATTGAAAGTGTAACTTCCCTTTCATGTTACCCTCTTTCACTGCATACATAGAT